TCAACTGTGATGGGAATTTCGACACTAAAACTGACTTTCTGGTTTCAGATTCAACATGTTACTGACTACGATAGGATTTTATCGAATTTGCTCGACAAGACTCCTCCRGACCATCCTGATCGAGAGGACCTGGAACATGCAGCAACCAACTTTAGACGAGTAAGCAGGGCTAGGGATGGTTTTCCATGAACAATTTTTGCAATGCGTTGCYACGTGACAGTCTCACTGCAAAMTTTGGTATAGTTTCGACATGTATTAACTCCCGTTTTAGCGMGGACAACCKCRATAGCGATACTCARTGTTTRYCAATAAACTCWTTSTTATGTTAATGTCCAACCATGAATGGCTTTTCACAAGTCGCTTTGTTCTAACAGCCAATCGTCTTCTGSTTGRCWMATGAATAACAAAGGCTTACGTCACATTGAGTATCGCTATATGGTCAAAGTCAAAATAGTGATTGTCTGCTGTAAAGGGACTRAGTACTTTCTTGGARCGGGCCRATTTATTCCTGTGTCCGTAATRMCGAGGTGTCCTTAGGKAGCGGTTTACACTACGGCATAATCACAAACAGAAGCAGTTGGTTCACGCTTGACATGATCATCACAATGATCATATTCCAATATACAAATCTGTAAATAAATTGAGCAGAAATATGAGAAAATGGAAAAGTTTTTCAATGGAAAAGTTTTTCATTTTCTTATGTTTGTGCTTACGATTATGTTAACCTCGATTTACACGTGCAATAATGTACTTCTTCTGCCTCTCCTTACGTCGTAGTATGAACCGGCCCTAAGGCAAGAGTCTACCATAATCGTGTCTGTTGATTGTGTTAAAATTCCTTTAGTTTTATGATCATAAAAAAAGGAGCTAAGGTCGGTTTTTTACTGGAGATGTTTCCTGCGATTTTTAAAGGGATTTTAAAAAGTATGAGAGATTTTGTCTTATCCATGTGAAGAGTCACCAAATTTTTCTCACAACCGATCATTACGACGACTTTAAGGAAACCTGGGCAATTCAGTCGCCTTGCTGTCTTAGACGTGTTTCCGTACTGTTTGTTGTATGGGTCTCAAAAGAATTTTCACACGACCGACGCGACTATATACAACCCACGCCTTACATATGTCTGCGCGACCATAGAATAACCTCTCTAAATGCGTTTTTCTTTGCAGATCGTTAGAGAAAGAGAAGAAGAAATTGTTACATTTGAAAATGAGGTAAACTAGTCCATTCCATACACTTAATATACTCGTCTAAAAATACAATGTAGACAGATATGGTTTAAATGTGTCACCCAACTTCGTCACACAATTCTGTCACGCAATCTGACGAAAACCTTTTTTACAATCAACGCATAAATACATAGCGTGTCAGGTAAAAGATTTAATTGAGCAACTTACGCCTGTGCATTCTAACCTTAGCAATTCTCCCCAATGACGTACTTCCGACATAAACCACAGGTATCCCAAGTATGGAAGGGCGRCTTTATGCATTCATTTCAGTCAATTTTAGAGGTCTTTCCAAAGTTTTGACCATAYCATTTACTTCAATARAGAGCAAAATGTTTTTCCGAATTCAAAGTTACGCACTCAGAATAATTCAAGAAATCTGTTTCATATTCTTCAATTTGACTTGCGTACAAGGTGTCGAGCTTGTATCGTCGATGATGACCTTACGTTTAATGAGTGCGACTTTTCGTCTAGACCAGAATTATCTTCAGTGTGGCCTTTTTGAGAATACTGTCATGATTAGTTCAACTTTCGATGTGAAGTGATTTTGTGTTATCACCTGCCTTCGGCCCTTTTAGGTCTCGTAGGTACACACATTTCTTTGCATTTTTGTCCTCAAAAACGCTAAAAAACGTTAACCTTATCAACACTACCTTTCATAGAGTTTATGTTTTTAATTCTATTATAGCAGTTGTGGAGCGTTACGGAAACGTTAAATCTCAGAACAATGATGCGTCTTCTTAACGATTTAAGTATGGTTCGCCTTTCTGAAAGAAATCAAAAACAATACAAGAAAGCTACGAAAACGTTACGATTCGTCCATAGTGATTTTTTTGTTACATTTTTGTATTTTTCGCCTTCATCAAGGGAATCAAAGATAACGAAGAACGCTACGGAAACGTTACGTCTTGTCCAAACTGATACGTTTTAGTAGCGTTTTTGTATTGTTCTTTTTTGTTCTCAAGGGAAAGAAAATGCCATGAAAACGCATCGTAAGCGTTAAGCTTTTCTACACTAATTCGTTTTCGTAGCCTTTTTATATTATTCTTTTTTCTCAAGGGAGAGAAAAATAATACAAAAATGCAACGAAAATGTTAGGATTCGTCTACACTGATACGTTTTCGTAGAGCCATTTGTGTATTTTCCGTCCTCCAAATCCCTGCACAGTAGTGGTGTTTCATTGTTTCGTGAACGATCGTGAACTGAGTTTCAGAGAATGCTAAATCGCAAACCACAATCCTTCGCGATCAACCTTTTTTGTCGAGAGATAGCTACGTATAGCAACGCAGTTTTTGTTTTATTGCGTAAATATCTCTTAAAACAAACTTGCCTGGTATTTTGAAGATTATCCAACCAAGATGAAAGCTTAACCTCAGCTATTGACCCTAACGTAGGATTTACGTGATTGGCGTAACCCAAGTGTTTGATTCAAGCTCACGATCGTGATTAACTCGTAAAACTTGATATATCGTCTTTCAATTTCTTCCATGTTCGCGTGTCTTGATCAATCGTGATCAGCAACAAAGTAACAACACTTAATCAACACAAACAATTCTCAACTCTGTGAAAAAAGTTACCAAAACTCAATGGAAAATTATATCATCTCAGATGTAATTTGGAACTGTTAGTACGTAGTCGCACTACAAAATGGTTATTGTCGAGATGGAAGATAAAGAGATATTTACAACTCAGGATTCCAGTTGCTCCAGTCATCTCGCTTTTAGTATACTACCATGGACTTTTATATTACCGTATATCGACGAAGGGTTTGCTCATGTTGATGAAGAGTTGGTAAGAAATTCAAAATGTTTGAAATATGTTGTAGAACTATTGATAATCGGATTCTACGCTACGATTTGCCTTATTCGGAACCAAGTATGAATGCTATATTTTCAGTTAGCGGTTTTAAGGAATGGAAAACCAATGACTTTGTGTGAATCTCTAGTTTGTTCAGTTGTTGATATTATGAGTGCACCCGTTTCCAAGTCTTCCCACCTCCCCTCCCTTCCCCCCACTGGAATAACTCGGGGAGGAAACTCAGGGGGGAGGTGTGTGACCTACAGTACAAAGGCTATTGTTATTGTGTTACACGTGTGAAGGCCTACTTCGGGTCCAAAAGTCGCCGTTCGTTCAATTCCTGTGGTTATCCCTGTTCGTCAATTGTTTTTGTTTACATTCTTTAGGGGGAACTTACTTAATATTTTTTTCTTTCTTTCCTTTTAATTCATCATTTGTTAACTTATTCGCCTCGTTCCTATCTGTGCGGCGATTTCAGTAAATGAACTAAGATAATATATTCCCATTCCGAAATGCATTGTGGATGATTCTATCAACGCTCTTAAAGGAGATTCTATTGATTCAGAGTGACTATGCCAGCTCTGTATCTCGTAGAATCCAATATCAACAATGCATTGCGGTCTTGGAATAGAATACTCTATGCAGAACCGCTATATTCAGTTCTCAAAATGTATTCCGACCTTTAATCAATAAACCTAATGTAGAGTCATTTTCATCCGTCTGTGAAATACGAATTGTACTATTAAATACTATTACCCCCTATTAGCTCCCAATAGTTTAACTTATAACATGCGACAAACTAATTAGGCAAACACGGTTTTGATTTTGCCTTTTGGTAGCCTACTACWCCCTAATAGTTACTATTRAAYACTGACTAGTAGTAATTGTTTCACAGACGGATGAAAATGACTCAAGTCATTAGGCTTGTAGTGTCCACTCAATTTGATCAGAATTTCCTTGTGTGACTACATCGTTACCGTCATATATTGGTGCTTATCATCCATACATATTCTTACAGGTTAGGATCAACCAAGTCCAGGATAAATTCCCACATGACAATCTAGCAATCACGGAAGGAGAAGCGCTACCGGTGAGTAGTTACGCACGCTTTCTTTCCGCAACGCCTAACGCGTAACTCGACGCAACTAAATGCATTTAGCCCTTACCGAAGGAGAAGCGCT